AGTTTGTTTTTTGAAATAAAAAATAAATTATTTTTTTTTCCTTCAAAAACTTTTTTTTTTAAACATTAAATTTTTTTACAGAGTTTGTTTACCTTATTTCTTAAATCTTCAAATAAACTTAGAAAATTTAAATATTTTTTCTTAAATTTTGGAGATTTTTTAAAATTTCGTTTGAAATTTATTAGTATTGTTAATTAAAATAAAAAAAGTTTGAGTATTAAAATAGATACAGTTATAAAAGTTGGTGTATTAAAATGGGCAGAATAATTAGTTGAGGTATTAAACTGGGTAGTGAAAAAGTTTGGGTATTAAAAAGCTTAATAGAATTTAGTTGGGGTATTTATATGGAATTTTCCCTTAATTAAAATAAAAAAAGTTTGAGTATTAAAATAGATACAGTTATAAAAGTTGGTGTATTAAAATGGGCAGAATAATTAGTTGAGGTATTAAACTGGGTAGTGAAAAAGTTTGGGTATTAAAAAGCTTAATAGAATTTAGTTGGGGTATTTATATGGAATTTTCCCTTAAATTAATAATTAAACATGTTAATAAAACTTATATGATGAGCATCACTAGCTAAAACGAGGAGAATTTTAAGGTTAATTAGAAAGATAGTTGAATTCTGATATTTGTCAAATTTTCAAATTAAAGCGGTAAAAATCATGAAAATATAATAATGATATCATATAGTACTAAATACGAATTTGAATGTTTTAGTTTCATGAAATGAATATCGAAATAATGATTAAAAAACTCAGTGAACATTAGGATTGAAGCAATAAAAGTTTGAAAAGGGGAACAATAAAGCCAAATGGTTAGGGATTAGACAGGTTGAAATGTTGGGGAGCATAAAAGCCAATAATTTGGTAATTTTGCGGAGGACCCCCTCTTATTGCGGCCAATTAATTTAATATTTTCTAATAATTTCACAAACATATCTCTAGAAAATTTTCTTATAAAGTTCTAAGTGCAGTAGAAACCTTTTTATGAAATACGAAACTTTAAAAGCTGAAACACAAATTTTAAAGTATAACAAAAAAAGTAAATGAATTTATTAAACATGAAAATATCTAATGTGAAAAAACTTCTTGATTTCTGAATACATAATTTATAGATTACGCATTTATATATTTTGTTTCTGTGATACTAGCTTGCCTACTACATATGTATATATAATATATATCCATAACTGTTAATGATTTTAGAGTCATTTGTTGCTCTTAGAAGTAGTGGATATAGAAATGTGCAAGTATCTATTTATTCAGGGGCTCACAAAGTAAACCATACTTTAATAAATGGAAAAAAATATCCTAGACTGAAGCCAAATAATGATGTTACCTAATAATTCAAGGGAATAATTTTATAGGCAACCCTTTGTTGTCCAAAAAGGTTGTGTCAATTATGGAGTCACATGTGCAAACTGTCTTAAAACTATCCTCATACAAAATCCAAAATATTAATGAAACTCGGTAATAAACAATCTACAGAAGAAAAGAACAAGTTTCTCCAGATCATTGTTTAAAATATTTTTAGTAATTAAATTCTTCAACTAAATATCAATAGTAAAATAAATTTTCAACTAAAAGTTCTACGAAATAAATCATCAATTTTAATTATATTAACGTTTGTTACCCTCCGTCTAAAATACCATAACGGAAAGTGACATATGTTAACAATTTATAAGTTGAGGGTTTATAATGTTGAAAACATAGTTAAAGGGTTTTATTGCGATTCAAAAGTAGTTGAAGATTTTAATCACTATAAACCATTCAATGTTTTATGATCTTTATTATCATTTATGCATTATTTAAATTTTGATTTATATGCCTTGAAAATAAAAATTTGAACAATTAAGCCTTGACAACTAATTTATAATATTTTTACATTATCATATCAATTTTAACCAGTTTATAAAGCTTCATAAATCTTTTAATATTTTGGCAAATGATTAATCATGAAGGCGATTGGTTAGACCGTAACTGTAAAAGTTTTATTGTAGAAATTAGTTTGTAAAATTTTTAAATGTAGTTGTATATAATGTAGCTGTAGAAATTAAATGAAAAATGAAAAAAAGATATTCATATAACAATATTTTTTGTTTTAGAAGATAAGGTTCCTACAACTAGGGATGGGCACAATTACTTGTTCCTCGGCTTGTACTTGCTACTTGATTCGTACTTGGCTTTTAAAGTCAAGTACTCGTTTTGGTAAAGTCGAGTATCAAATCATTTATTTCAATTACTTTTAAGTACAAGACAAATATCAAGTACTAAAATGAAAATAACTACTTGGTGTTATTGGCTTGTTACTCATGATTTAGTACTTTAGCCGTTTTTACTTTTGAACAAAAAATCTCTAAATTATAACCAAATTACTTATTTATACAATAAATGAATTAGAAGTGATATATTATAGAAATATTTTAGAGTTTTTTTCTTAATTTTACATTTATCATATATTGACTTAAAACATATAAAAACTATATAAATATTCTTTATTAAAATTGTGTAGATTAGAATTATAACTAACTATTTTTAGTAATTCATAGACAAGGTTCAATAACTAAAATTAATAAACTATTATTTAATAATTATATAATAATAATTTATAAATTAGTTTAAAACTAACAAGTAGTAAACAAGTACTTGCAAGTATATCATTTTGAGCAAGTACTTGAAAGTGTAAGTATTCGTTTTTAATAAACCGAATGCAAGTATAAAATTTCATTAGTTTTAAAGGTTAATAAATCAATTTTAAACAATGTATAAACAATTATAAAAAATTAAAAACATAAGTCAAGGTTTAGTGAATAAAACTCTCAACTACTTTAAATCGCAAGAAAACTCCTCAACTAAGTTTTTGACATTTTAAACCCTCAACTTATAAACCATTAACATATGTCATTCTCCGGTAACAAATGTTTATGAAATTAAAAGTAAAGATTTATTTCACAGAATTTGTAGTTAAGAGTTTATTTTATTATTCATCTTTAGTTGATGGGTTTAATTACTAAAAATCCTTGTTTAAACTACAGCCAAGATTTAAAGAAGAACGGCTGGATGGCTCGATCTATTATTGTCTCGAAAGTGAGAGAAGACCTTACATTGAAATGAAAATATACACATCAATGCACAAGTGTATTCAAATTATTTCGATAGAGATACTGAAAACGGAGACACATGGTACACATAAAAAAACATACACACAAAAGTATCTCTATCTCTATCTCTAGTATCCATACGACCATACCATACATCGCTCTCTTGCCTCTCTCTCTCGGCCACACTCATTGAAGAAAATAAATAAAAAGGTTATTAAGTCATGGGACCATATCGTCTCTGTAGCTTACATTCGACCTTTTTCGATCTGTCTCTCTCTCATTCCCACTCTCTCTTAAAAAAAGCTGAAATATTTTCTCTCTTTCTTTGGAATTAAAAGGTTTAACCTTTACTTTTTTTTTTCTTCTCTTTCAGCTGAATATAAATCTAAAAAAATGGACGATCATCATCCTCAGTACGGTGTACCGGAGCTTCGCCAGCTCATGCAAGGCGGAGGTAGGACAACAACAACGGAATCACCGTCGACCTCTTCTCATTTTCCCTCTGATTTCTTTGGCTTCAACCTAGCGGCGGCCCCACAACACCACCGACTAAGTCAGTTCACTACAGAACAGGAGATGGGTTTCTTACCACGTGGCATACATGGACTGGGTGGGGGCTCTTCGGCGGCTGGAAATAACAGTAACTTAAACGCGAGCAGCAGCGGTGGAGCAGTTGGGATTAGCGGGTTTCTCGACGGAGGAGGTTTTGGCGGCGGCGGAGGAGGAGGAGATGGCGGAGGAACGGGGAGATGGCCGAGACAAGAAACCCTAACTCTGTTGGAGATTAGATCTCGTCTAGATCATAAATTCAAAGAAGCTAATCAAAAGGGACCTTTATGGGATGAAGTTTCTAGGTTTGCTTCACTTAACCCTAATCTCTCTCTCTCTTCTCATTTTCCTCTATTTTATTATAAAATCGTTTTTTTAAAAAAACTTTATGCACATTTCTCAAACCAATTCATACCATAAGAGTCTTTTGGTTCATCGACAATGTCTCCTATTTAAAATTTAGTCAATTAGGAGAAATTAATAAATTTCCAACTGAAGAAAATATTAATAATATTTGAGTATTTTGTTTTATTGGTTTTCTTTCAGATTTGACCTTTCATACGCTTTCTTATTTAAAAATTAGACCTTTCAAGTGAAAATCCCGAAGACAAGTTAAACCTTTTTTCTGCATTAATGACTAGAAAGAATGTGATCTCAACACTTCCCTTGGGCTCCTCAATTTCAACACACTTTTTCAGCTGATCAATATAGGGACACATAAATATTTCATTCCCACGTATATATATACACAAATTAATGTGTATCTGCAGATGGGTCAGTTTGAAACAATTTCTCTAGGAGTCGTTTTGGTTTGGTCAAGGGAATGACCAGACCTTGGCAGTTTCAGTTAAGACATTAGCAGGTGCTTTAAAAGCCCAAAAGGGTAAAACATAGAAAATAGTAAAGTAAAGAGTTTTATTATCTTCTTTGACTTTGATTTTAGTTTTCTCTCTTTTTACTGATAACTTCTGATTCATCTTTCTTAGCTTCTGGAGATATGTACCCTCTTCTTTTGTGCAACTATGCATAGAAACATGTTCTTGTGTTAAACTGCTAGTCCACTAGCTAGTAAGTATCCAAAACAATCTTGGTCCGACAGTTATAACTAGTGTAAGGAAAAATAAAACTTTTATGTGGGTCATTATCTAATCTTAAGCAAAGACACCATAAAAAATGTTATTCTATACATTTATGCATGAAAACAGTCAATGATTCATGACCTAGTTTCAAGATTAGGGGACTGCTTCAAATTTCAATCGACACATGAACTTTATTAGTCTTTTTCATTCATTTTTCTCTTAACATTTAGGATTATGTCTGAGGAACATGGATACCAAAGGAGTGGGAAGAAGTGCAGAGAAAAGTTTGAGAATCTTTACAAATACTATAAGAAGACTAAAGAAGGCAAAGCCGGAAGACAAGACGGTAAACACTATAGATTTTTCCGGCAGCTCGAGGCGCTCTACGGTGACTCCAACAACTTGGTTTCTTGTCCCAGTCATAACACACAGTTTATGAGCAATGCTCTTCATGGTTTCCACACCCAAAACGCTATGAACATTACTACAACAACGTCTAACATTCATAACGTTGATGGTGTTCATCGTCAAAGCCTAAGCCTTTCTAACAACTACAACTCCTCTGAGCTTGAGCTGATGACTTCGTCTTCTGAGGGGAATGATTCTAGCAGTAGAAGGAAAAAGAGGAGTTGGAAAAATAAGATCAAGGAGTTCATTGATATGAACATGAAAAGGTTGATAGAGAGGCAAGATGTTTGGCTTGAGAAGTTGACAAAGGCTATTGAAGACAAAGAGGAACAAAGGATGATGAAAGAAGAGGAATGGAGAAAGAGTGAAGCTGCGAGGATCAACAAAGAGCATTTGTTTTGGTCTAAAGAGAGGGAGAGGATGGAAGCTAGGGACGTGGCGGTGATTGAGGCTTTGCAGTTTTTGACCGGAAAGACGTTGGTAAAGCCGTTATGTTCATCCTTGGAGGAGAGGATTAATGGTAATAATGAGATCCAAAACAATAGTGAGAATCAGAATGAGAAAGAAAGCAACCAAACGATGACTAACAATGTTTCTGTCAAAGGAAGTGATAGCTGCTGGAATGAGCAAGAGATTATAAAACTTGTGGAGATAAGAACTAGTATGGACTCAGCGTTTCAAGAGATATTGGGAGGATGCTCCCAAGACTTTCTATGGGAGGAAGTCGCAGAGAAATTGGTCAAGTTAGGGTTTGGTCAGAAAAGTGCTTTGTTATGCAAGGCAAAGTGGGAGTGGATAAGCAATGGAAAGGAGAAAATCAACAAGAAAAGGAAGGAAAATTCGTCGAGCTGCGGAGTATACTACTATCCAAGAACCGAAGAAAATACGATGTATAATAATCAAGAAAGTGATTATAATGATAATGACCAGGGCAATCAGGTGAATGAACAAGGCAATGTGGGTTCTTCAACATCAAATGCAAACGCAGCCGCTGAAAATCCTAGCGGTGCAATGGCCGCTAGTACAAACTGCTTCCCGTTCTTCATGGGAGATGGAGACCAGAATCTGTGGGAGAGTTATGGCTTGAGGCTAAATAAAAGAGATAATCATCAGTGAGTAGTTATACTCCCCACAAAAAAGGTGATCATGAGGTTAACTAATTCTTTTGAGTTAGTTTTATGAGAGATAAACCTTGACTTAACTATTATATATGTCACACGATGCTTAGAACGAAGGGATATATATTTGGTTGGGGATTACAGAATGTTATATTAGCATATATAAGATGAAAGTCAAATTAAAGTAGGCTATAACCAATTCTTATTATGTTTTCATGTAGTAATTTTGTAAGACTTCTTATATATTTTCTACTAGAAAATTTCTAGTATTGAACCTTGATTCTAGTAGCATACATATCCATCTAAATACCTGATGTATGCTAAGACAAAGATCGCATTTCATAAAATCAAATTTCAAAAAGATAATTTTTTTTTTTTTTTTATATTTAGAGGCATAGACACGCAAAAGCAGACAAGACATATCATAGGAATAGGTAACTAGAAAAAAAAAAACAAATCATGCATGTCTCAAAACCACTTGACATTTAAGCGTAATTCTTCCTGACCATTAAAAATGTATTCCATAATAAGTATACATATTCTTAGAGCAATCCTAATGGAGGTTTCTCAACAAAAGATGATTTTCAAAATACATATATATGAACCAAAAGGTTCTTGTCCATTGGTTTCACTATATCACATGCATGTTAATGTCGATCGAGAGTAGTTGAAACCGACAATAATTTTCTGTAGAGTGTATTTTCGATAGAAGTATATACTCCCTTCGTATTTGAATGTAATGTTTTAATTTTTTTATTTGTATACAAAAAATTGATGTTCTATCTTTAATTAATGCATTTTACTTTAAAAATAAAATATAAATCAAAATGAAAAAATATATATGGTTAAATTTTGTTAGGCCATGTTCAAAGAGGGAGCACTTAAAGTGTGCTTGGGCTTATTTTAATTGGAAAAAATTCAAAATTGGGCTAAGATCAGTTTAATAGTACTTGAAAAAGATCAGTTCTAAGCCTTGTTTCTGGGCGACGTGGCAGTTGATGATTGGAAGAAAATCATTAAACCAAAATTATTAGTTCACCTTCTTCTTCTCTCTCGCGCTTCCCCAAAATCACAAGATTAGTTCTAACAAGTGATCTCTCTTTGAGGATGTCCCTTGTTCCTAACCTAAATACATTATTTTACTACTATTTTCACTCTGAGCACACACCTTAATGCTCTCCCTTTGAGGATGCCCTTAGGAATCAAATAAAACATTAAATTAACTAAAAGTAAAATAAAAAAAATAACAGAAAAAAGTAAATATTTAATTTGTCTTAATATGTGTGTACACTCTTAAACATCATATATTTGGATCCAGAAGGAATATTTTTTAAACAAAATCAAACTAGGGGAAAGGATTTGTGATGCCTTTTTTCTTTAGTTTAGCTTGGTTACGGTATCTTCAAGACTGGCCAGGACATTATTAAAAAAAAAAAAACTAAATCAAGCTTGTGTTTTGTAATTCGGGTATTTATTGACTTATTGTTGTAAATCGTGGTTGAACTTTGGTCCAGAGAGAGGACTAAATCTAATTAATGTATGAACATAAAAGGAGATACAAGAAGAGATAGAGATACAAAATTAGGTGATGCTAGAGAGATATAAGAGTTATGAAGATAGAGATAGAGAGGAAGAGTAGTGAAGTAAGCTCTGTCAATTCAGTGTGTTGATTGTCAGAGGGAAAGTAACCATTTGCCTTTGTCTCACTCTTCTCGTTTTGTCCCTATTCCCTTTAGAGACAGTGAGACACGAGTACGAGTCAATACAATCTTTTTGACGTACACATTATTGATAACGTTGATTAATTCTGAATTGTCTCGATTCTCATTTATGTGCTTGTTCACAAGAATGGTTCCACACACAAGACCAGTCCTATTCTTGAGCTTGATGATTCTTCTTGTCAAACTTAAATAATTTTGATATAGATAATATTTGATATTTGATTCATTAATGCTGCAGGTGTCATACATCTTGTTCAAATTTAGAGAACACGTCATAAATAATTTCCAGAAGTTCAGTGTTTACTTACACTTCAAAAAACTATAAGAAAAATAATTGTTTCAGAGTAGCAAAAGACTTCTCGTAACACTATATATCCATCTTTAAACAATTAAAACTGTTTTCATGACAACCTATTATACGTTCAGTCACTGCCATTGTCTTTCTTTTCTGTCCAGTGTCCACCCTACGACTAGACACATCATGACCTCATTACATGGATTTCTTCTTTTAACATTCCCTCATCATACCTTCATTTTTTTTTCTTTATACTAGATAGGAAAAACAAAACAAAAAATTATAGGAGGTACCAAAACATATATTAAACTGGAGTGTAAAACCATAACAAATAAACAATCTAAAGGTAAATACGCAAAAATAGAATAGCAAGACTCAAGAGGATAAATATAGAAGAATCAGATGGTAAAACCATATGTAGTAGTCAGATGGGCCTAATCTTCAGGGCCTTGTTAATCTTTAATTTATTATAATATGGCCCGCTAATTTATTATACCATACACAGTGTGTAATCGATGGACTGAGACTGAAACTCCATATATGTTGTAACGTTAATAATAAAAAAGGAAAATTTTGACAGTGATCTTAGGCTAGAACCTTAGACCAAATCGGCCATAGTAACAGTTTTGTTTATTGCATTACAAGTACAATATAATAGGATCAGAGATGTGAAGCCTCTAATGTTGTTAGCAAATTAGTTGGAGATGAAAGCGATTGAGAAGCAAATGATGGCGGCATATGTGATTCATAAGGAGGTGGAATTGAATGGAAGATTCTCTGTTGATTCCAGTTTGCAAGAGATAACGATTATACAACCAGAATCATTCCCAAAGGAGGTATCAATATATGTTCTTGAATCCTTGTCCTACTGAAACAAGGATTATAGCAGGATTGTGTTGGTTGCATTGGAAACTTTTTTCTTACAGATATTATGGATTTTTTACCCATTCATGGAGCACAAACATGACAATCAATCTAACGCTCGTTATAACTTCCAAAAAATGCAGTGAAAAATGTCCCTATTTAGCATCTTGGATCAGTTTGACAGAACTAGCGTACAATGGTCATTTCAGCGATTATTTCCTATCAATTGCCTTGGTTCTGTGGTAGAATTGTGGCTCTCACAGCTTGGTTGTGGTTTTGTTATGATTATGGAACAGAGGAAAAATATCAGGCTTTAACTTTCAGGGGAGTTGCTGCGTTTTCTCTGTGTTACTTAAGAGGTTATGGTGTACATCTTTGCTTATCAGTGGTAGGTTTCTAATCCTCTGCCAAGAACACCAAGTACATCAACTGTCAAAGCAAGCAGATGCAGGGTTGATGTTCAATATGATGACATAATGGGCTTTAGTAAGCATTACATAGTTTTTTAATGATGCTATGGTTCAAAATCTGTTTCGATAATCAAGTTATGGGAAAGAAATGAGAAGGGAAGCTGATGTAATGGAGAAGACTGAGCTGCACTATAACGTCTAAGTCTTGAATCATCAGACTGAGGATTCAGATTCTGCGGTATCCCCGAGCTTACCCTCGCTGCCTAGCTTGTCTGAGCAAACATTTAGCTTCTTTGCGGGAAAGCTCATCTTCGATTATTAGAAAAAAAAACATTAAATATTAATGAATATTAGGTGTTTGCCCGTAACTTTGAGGATAGTTATATATAAAGAAATATGTATTATGTTTACAGTGATATAACTTTTGAATAATAACTAAATATGGCAATTTTATTTGTTAACTTTAAATAGTTGGATTCAAAATTTTCAGTATATAATTTTAGAAGAGTAGCAAGATTTAAGAAATTTCAACAATATAAATCTTAGTCATTAAAAAATATTCGTATTAAAAATTAATTTTATAATTAATTTAGATAATTAGTTGTAGAATTCCTTTATATTTTATTTTAGCTCGTGAACAACGGAAATACTCTAGCATTCAAAAAAGAAAATTCTTTTTTTTTATAGCTCATATGACCAATATAATGATCGGATGCTTTTATACTGAAATCTCTTGTAAACATTTTTATGTGTTCTTTAAAAAACATAAAATTTTTTAATAGTTTTACATGTGTTCTTTAAAAACATAAAAAGTTAAAAGTATTTTATCTAATTCTATATACATAACTGATAGAAATAAACAAATTGATAAAACATTTTATATTGTTTCTATAATTCTGCAAAAGTTACCATAAATCATTATTTGTAATATTACTTATGTAATTTGTATTTGTATTAATTAGTTCTAGAGTTTTTATAGATTTTATAAGAAAATAAATATATAATAAAAGTATCAATCATGCACATTATTACAATTTTTAAACTTCACAAGCAAAAGTCACTTAATTGACTTTTAATAGATTTTGTGGTTAGCTTAATAAAATTTTAGTATATATTAAGATACACTAATCCACTCCTCTAAGAATTCTAAGAATTATTTTGCTGATGACACGTGTCTACCTCAAATGTTGTAATTTCTCTCAAATAATGTTTAAGAGATTAAATTATATAGACATATTTTGTATATCTTTTTCTATACAATAAACAACTAAAGAAAATTACTAACTATATTATATATATAACATACATATAAGGTTTTTAAAATATTTTTTTTAAAACAATTCATTTAAAATGTATACTGAGTTTTACAGTAAGTGCTGAATTTATAAATTTATTGATGAAAAACATTAAATATATTTGTTATCTAACATTTTTTATAATTTTTTATAAGATTATCTATATAAGACATAGTAATAAATTATTAACCACTATTTTTATTTTTATTTTTAGTTACAGAATATGGAAGTGAAAGTTTTTAAGTTTCTCTTTTCATAAAATATTTATTTTATTAAATGCGCATTATAATCTGTAACAAAAATTTGAGCATTGAGGACACAATTTCCATAAATACATATTTCTCTTAACCATAATTGATAAATATAATTTGTTTGGTTATTGATGTAAGTTAGTTATTGATTTAATTTAAAAA